GAAATACAGCATGTATTACTCTTGAAAAGAGGAATTTTCTATCCTTTCCTCCGTAATTGAGGTCATTCAACCACTAGGGTTCACCTGGAGTCCATACCATGATACAACGCGTCACTCTGAGCCATTTTATCTTTTGTGCTGATAGTCAAGATCGCAGCTCTAACATTGACATCAAACTCTGTCTGTGCAGATGACTAAGAGTGCTGCACAATGTAAACTTTTGACCCTCAACTTTTTGACCCGCAGTTGTAACGCACTAACCACAAAGATACACAAAGCTGAGCTTCTTCATTCAGGGGGAAGAGGCCCTGAGGATCTCAGGATGCCCTGCTTCTGCCAGAGCCTTTGGAATTAGAGCATGAGCTGGATATTTTTATGTGTTCCTGATTGTATTTCCTGTTAAATTAGCCTCTTACTTCTTTTTTGTCAGCACATAGGAACTAGATTAACTGGAAATCACTGATGACTCCACTAACAATGAAAATTTGGAGTACAAAAGAATCTTGCAAAAAATGAAAGAAAAAAGATGAGGGAAAACCAGCAATGAGAAGTGAAGACTTTTTTTCTTTAAAAATAAAGATGCAGCCCTAACTGTTGGGAGACCTGGCCCAGGCAGGCAAGTTGACTGTGAACTTGTACTAAAGCGTGCTCTGCTGGCGATTCCTAGGGTGTGCAGATTTATCTTCTCTGCATTTACTTAACCCGGCAGTGAACTGCACGGGCGTCATTTGTTAGGCGATGACAGACTTCACCTCCAGCAAGGGCTGCTTCACAAAATCACAATAATTACCTAATAACCTTCATAACAAATATTATTATTGAAAAGACTGGTTTGTGGAGAAGGGATCTGGTGGAAGAAGGACAAATTTCTTTGTAAAAAACTAAACAAAACAAACCTATCTGATTCTCCAGTGCTGGGGCTTAGAATGGGTTGGACTGTGGATCTACTTCCATATGTGGTAGGAGTCTAAGCTGACCCCCTCAACCTTGCCTGGGAGCCCTGCTTATAGTTTTGTCATTGGCTAGAAGGGAAGTCCCCCTTAGAAACCAAAGGGATGGAGCACACAGTACTCTGCCCTGTCCAAGGTGGGCACACCATGGTCGATCCCCAGCCAAAGTAGGAAAGACACTAAGGTCATCTTTCAGGCTAAAAGGATTGTTTTCCCCTTTAACAGGCCATCTTTTGGGATGTGATTGTTTGGATCTCTAGATCTCAACAAATGAACATAACTGCTTCTGGGAGAAAATTCTGTCTTGCTCTCCCAGAGCCGCCAACAATGCAGCAGAGGAAAGTGCAAGAGCAAAAGGGAATCTTGGCATAATGTTGTGAAATTAGACCATGGAAACCCTAACAAACCCCTAAGTGAGTGTGACCAGAAGCTTCCTATTATATTTACAGTCCAGGAAATATTGTCTCTTAGTCTTGTGGAAACAAAGAAGCCCCTGCATATTTCTGCTGCCTTCTTCTTTTACAAGATGAGGAGGAGCACAGAATCAGACTTCAGCCCCGGGCTGAGGCTGGATGTCCTCATAAAGCTTTCAGTGGCAGTGATTTTTAAAAAGTTAGTTCCTCTGCAAAAACAGTGCAAAAGGATGCATAAGAAGTAACTTAGCTACAAAATGAGCAGAAAGCAGGCAACTTCTTTATGTGTCTATGAAAACAGGAAGAAAGAAAAAAAACCAATAATATTCACATAGGACTGACTGGATACTGTATTTCTTACAAGTCACTTAACCCCACATGGGTTGACCTGCACTCTTAAATTCTCCTCAAGTTTTGTGAAGATCAACACAGACAGAAATAAGTAAGCTGACAATACTTATAGCCCATATTTTTTAAATTTCAGGAGATATTATATGTTTTATGCAGTTCGATGTGATTCCAACAACTCAGCCACTGAGGTAGTGTGGACACTTTTTTTACCCAAGATACTCAGAGGAACCTGTCAGCATCTCTAGGACTCTCCCACTTCTAGCTTCTAATCTCACTCACCAAGAAATCACTTAAGCAAGATCACCAAATGAGTAACCAAAGTGGAGCCCAAACCCAATGTTTTCCAACAAAGGTCCCCAAACTCAGAGAGCAGCAAAACAACAAATCCAGAGCTATCCCAGACATGTAACACAGAACCCACACATTCTGGTTCCCTCTAAGATATGGACACATCCTCCTGCTTGCAGAAATACCAAAACTCACTTCTTCATCTTGCCACACTATTTCATGAAAAGTAAGACTTAAGGGAGGGTTTTAACTTTTCAAAACAAAACTTTTGAAGTTTTGATTTTGGAATTTCTGACTTTAAGGACATCTGTTGGATTTATTCTGAGTGTAGATAACCTTTGCACAATAAAGTTTGTAGAAATTCCAAATCTATATTATATAACATTTTCCTTTAAACATTTGGTAAATATCTATACTAGTGAGTACCTGCAGGAAACTACCTAGCCCCCAAGAAAAAAAGCAGATCCCATTCTTTGTTGTTTCTCAATGTAGTTTGAGATTTGCCTTAACTTCTCAAAAAGGATTGGGGGAAATCTGCAAGGTCCCTTGTGGATATCCCCCCAAAAGACCCCAGAATGTGCCACAGTGTTCCCAGTCACTTGGTGTAAGGAATGTGGGGGGAGCAGAGAAGAAGGGTAGCTGGGGCCAAGACAGAATTGTACCCAAGAAAATTTTATTTCACTCATTGGTGTAATTTTGGAGATTGTTTTGGAAATCATAGATTATGTAAATTTCCTGAGATCAAACAGAAAAAGCAACTAACAAAAGAGAGGCGGAAATCTCCTACTGACAAATGACCACTTTCTTTCCTAAACTATGCTTTATGATGTGTCAGGAAAAACAACTTAATGACTCTGGGGACTTTTAAGATGGGCATTGAAGACACCTCGGTTTCCCCCCCAAACTTTAGGGCACAGTTTGGAAGAGAGAATTTGTGTGTTGAGTGGAAGTAAATTTCTCTAATCTTTAGTACTATCTGGGGGAGGACTAACTTGCCTTTTGAGGGTCCTATGCATAGATGTTTTAATTCTACAAAGAAGGAGAGGAAAAGAAGAGAGGCAGAAGAAAGGCAGGGTGTAAGAAAAGAGAGTGCTTTAACCTCTTTCAATTAGCCTGGGGATTCAAAGATTAAAGTTAAATCCGGCCATAAAGTTTATTGCTTCAGACTCACAGGCGAGTGAGAACAGTCCCAGCGAAATAAAAAGAATGTGCAGGCAAACAAGGTTCAGGACCTGGGCCTGGGTGCGGGATAGGGGGTGCTGCTCTCCTCGGATGGGGACCCGCAGTCCCCAGAGTTCTATGGGCATTAGCAGCCTTGTCTCGGCCTCGAAACCCAGGGACCCAGCCTGGAGTTGCAGCCTGCGCCTCGCCAGCCTCTGCCACCCTGCTGCTTTCGAGAACCGACCTGAAACCTGGCCCCGAAGGCCGCCTCAATTCAGTCCTGCCAAATGACCCTGGCCAGCGAAGACATATTGCCACAGCCCCGTAAGGAATCCCGCCAAAGTCCGCCTCGGCCCTGCCCGGGCCTCTCTTTCAAACTCTCCAGAGCAGCCCCGGCGCCCCGCAGCCGGCGCCCCACTGTCTCCCAGCCCCCACCTCGGGGCTCCAAAGCCCCCAAAGAGCCGGGACCCAGTCGGGCCCGGAATGAGGAGGGCCCCTGCCAAGTCTACACACACAGACCCATTCGAACACAAAATCATCTTTTTTGCGCGCCGGCAGGCAACGGAAGTCATTAACATCCGCGGTTGTGCAGCAATTAAAGTTAGGCCTGGGGATGCGACGCGACCACAGGCGCTGCTCACCTACTGCTTTCGCAAAATTAGCCCTTGGCGCTGCAAACTGAGCAGAGGACCAGTGTGCCCTCCCAGAGAGAAAGAGAGAGAGAGAGAGAGAGAGAGAGAGAGAGAGAGAGAGAATGAATAAAGTTTTCAGAGTACATATAAACTTGAAAGCGCTCAGAAAGGGAGCTTACCTTAACTCAGAGGGAGCCATTTTTCAGAGAGTTTTGAGAACTTGTGGTTTGGACACTTCTGGACCTAAAATTGACAATTTGAATGACCAGGCAGCACACGTAGCCTGCAAAAGAGTCAAATGGAGTCCAGCGTCAGTGAGATTATATGTTATGTGGTATATAATGTTGGATGTCAACTCCCCAAAACCATAAAACTTACTTTAATGGCCCCACGTGACGTTTTATAGCCAGTGAGCCGATCTGTCTGTGCTATGGATGATTTTACGATCTAATTCATAGACAAAACCCTATTCATTTGGCACCCAAATGTCATATAGCCGGAACTGGGGCTTATAAAGTTTACTGTTTTATAACTTTTAAAAGGAAAGACGGCATCAGTGTAAGCGGTCGGTAAATGTGCAAATCTCTAGTTGCGCTTAGCCGCTCTGAGGAGTTTTCCAATCAAGCTAGGATGGGGTAAGTACCTTCCATTTGTAGCAAATTAATTGTAGCAAAAGAAGCCAACTGGGTTCAGGGTGAGGAATTGGGAAGGGACATTGGGTTTGGTTAGGGGCAAGGGTTTGGGTCCACAACCTGGCACAGAACTGTCTACAGCAAGTAGAGGCCTAGAATAGCCTTAGGGAAGAGGCAGGATCTGTGTGGGCCCCCGAAGGTGGCGAACAATGCCCTGGGCTTTTTCTCCTGTTTTCCTCTCTTCTACTCTCTTTTTGTACCCAGCAAGTTAACTTGTTCTCCTCAGAGATTGGCAAGGTGGATAGACTTTGGAACTGCCTATAGCTTTTACTAATTTCTGCCCCAGACTTTCTGTTGGGTCAAATTTAGGGAGGCAGAGGGTCAGGTTGTTGGTCTGAGGCCTCCATGCACAGGCAGGCTGCTCAGGTGAGCCTGAGACTTACCAATTCCCAAGACTAGACAGACAGACAGGCAGACAGACAGGCAGACAGACAAAAAAGCAGAAGGAGTCGCTTGCTATTTGGCACAAACCAGACCAAGAGAACTTACAATAGAAAGTTTATTTTTTGTTTCCAGTCAGTATTTTTCCTTAAAAACAACCCCCCCAAAAAAAAGCTGATCACAGTTTGCTTAAACAGCCAGACTTAGACAATATTTGTAACTTTGTTCACAAAAACATACATCACTGAAGCTGCGCTTATAAGAGCCACTTCCAGAGTTCGTGCAAAGGGTCCTACAAAGGCACGCAGGGACACACCGCTTGGAGTCACAGTTTTCGTCACAGAGTCACTAGTCACTACACGTCGAACAAGTTAAGTTGTGTCTCATTAAGTCACCTCTACAACAGCATTAATTACACAAGGAATATAGGTAGTTTGAATAAAAATATCTTTAACAGCTTGGAGCTATTGAGACAGGAACACTTCCACGCACATGCACAGTTAAACAACTTGAGTGCAACACACAACATTGGCACTAAAGGAGGTTGAAGGGGGACTTTTCTGTGTGTTTTTTCTTTTTTGTTACAGTTACTTCAAGTAACACAGCTTGCTTCATATAAATAAGTTAAAACATCTATTTTTTTTCAAGACAAAGCCATTCAGGACAAAGAGATGAACAGAAAGCAGATCTACTTATACAGGCGCTATAATGGCAATAAACAGGCTCATGATTAAAAGATGAATTAGGGCAACAAGAACAGGGCTTCTTCACAGAAGGAACACAAGGGAGTTTCAGAAAGTCACCTTAGTACTGACACTAAGCGGGATTCGCTAATACTGCTCAGTACTTTAAATGCTCAAATGCTCAGGGGCGGAAGGCCCCTCCTGCCGCCGCCATGCTCATGCTTTTCAGCTTATTATCTTTTTTCCACTTCATTCTCCGGTTTTGGAACCAGATTTTAATTTGTCTCTCGGAGAGGCAAAGAGCATGTGCTATTTCAATCCTTCTTCGTCGGGTCAGGTAGCGGTTGAAGTGGAACTCTTTCTCCAGCTCCAGGGTCTGGTAACGTGTGTAGGCCGTCCGGGCCCTTTTGCCTTCCGGGCCGCCTATGTTGTCTGCAATAGAAAAGTCAGCGGTTTAGCCACCAACTCCTCAGCCTTTGGCTTCCAAAGTCCTCCAGCTGATGAGCCAGGGTCCTGAGCCGGGAACCAGGCGAAAGGCTCAACAAGTCTTCCCTCCCAGTCTACCCGCCACTCCCGAATTTCCTTCCCTCTTCCTTTCTAGAGAGAAAACAATATGGTTTGGACTCTGGGAACAATCGGCCCATCTGAGGCTGGAACCACATCCCAGAGGACCGCGGGCTTTCCCTCGCGCTTCTGTGCCCTCTGGCCCTGCCCCAGGAGCCCCAAGCAGGGGGCGCAGCCCTCCCAGGCTGCCCACCTCTCGGAAACTCACCGGAGCATGGCCCTTTTCTGAGTGCCAGAGTGGCCTCCAGGTCACCCTCCCTCAAAGTTCCATCCACACGAGCCGCCTCCAGTTCCAGCCTTTACGACTGGTGCGCCTTTCTTTTTATTTTTTCCTCTTTCCCTCCTTCCCTCTCCTTCTTTCTCCCAAACTTCAGAATCCCGCCGGCCTTCGCCTAGATTATTCACCCCAAGCCCCTTTTCGGGGGTCTAATTAGTAACGCTGTTTCCCCGGTAGCCCTTCCCATAAATTATCCACCCTGACAAGCCCGATTCACGGCCCCTACTGCCTGCCATCCTTTACCCTCTACCTCTCTGCGCCCTGCTCGGCTGGCCTGACCCGGCAGCGCTTTCCGAGGCGCTGGGGTTCGAGACAGATTTTTTTTCCTTTCTTCCTTTTAAAAAGTCTAAACTTGCCTGGCCACCGGCCCCTTGCCCCGCTCTATGAGAGTGCGGGTCGCTGCAGAGAAGCGGAGAAGGATGGAGGCAGGGGAGGGAGACCGACAGGGAGAGGCTCCCAGGCTGGAAGAAGAGACTAGGAGAGACCGGGAGAAAGGGCGGCAAGGAGACAGGGGAGACCGACAGCCGCGCCCCCGCGGACGCGTGGATTTAGAAAAAGGCTGGCTTTACCATGACTTATGTGCAGCTTGCGCATCCAGGGGTAGATCTGGGGTTGAGCGGGCGGCGCCGGGCTCGGCTCGCTCTGC